AGATGCATATCTCAGAGAAGGATAAAATCCTGAATTTTTTTTTAAAAACACTATCTGCATCTGTAGTTTGGGCGAACTGATCTTTTAATTTCTTGGAGCTTTTTTGATCAGTGTGACGTGATGTCAGGTGTGTAAGCATATTAAAGAGGGAATTAGTTGGGTTGTGCAACCTCACCTGTCGTGTCCCTTGGCCTGCGACTGCCCTGCGATGGCGTCCATGATGGCGTCCTGTGAGTACATGCTGATAGGTGTGTTGTACTGGGCGTGCACGATGGTGGCCTTTCCGCCTGGACCCCTCACCTCAATGGGCTTGTGGGTGGACAGGGCAGAGTCTTTCAGAGCGATGGGGTTGAAGCTGGGGGTGTACTCCACACTTTTGGTGTCAGAGTGGAGGGGTGAGTTAAAGGTCGGTGGGTTGGACAGGAGGTTTCAGGTGCGGGGGTGAAGGGGTTAACAGTCGGGGTGGAGGAGAGGAGAATTTGAGAGGAAAGGAATGACAGAAAGGAACAAAGTAAGGAAGGGAAACTGGGTGAGCGTGTCGTAAAAAAACTGAAGAGGGGGTTTATGGGGGTTCAGTTAGTGCTACTGATCTGGGACAAAGATTTAATCCATCAACTGGCAACTAAACAACTTTTTGTGTCACTAATGATGATATACAAACGTACAAATGTAACGATAAGGCTGAATTCAAATTCAAAATCCAAGAAAATACATGCTGATATATCACAACAACGAAAAGGACCACAGACGTATTAAAATCTGTCGCACACACACACACACACACTGCAGATGATGTTTTACAGCTACACACTTCATCTCATGCATTTATTCACAGTGATAAACTGTGAATTGGTTCATGTTCCCGGAAATGAATATGAAAGATTGAGGACCAGCAGAGGTGGAGTAGATTTCAGCATTAAAATATTTAGGAGACAATAAATGTAAATAATAAAGACTAAGCTCGAGTATTAAAACTAAAACTAGTTCTTTTGGTTCTTTTAAACTTCTGTTAATGTTTGTTTCACTCTGTAATCTTCGATAGTTTGGCGTCATTTAAAAAACTTGATACAGAGAATTGACTCAGTTAAGCAGGGTTTCCCTTAACCAGAAGGTTGGGGTTTCAATCCCTGATATTGAACCTGATCCTTTGTGATGGAAAAGTAAAAGTACTGCGTGTAGAAGCACTGTGTGAACCTGACTTATACTGTAAAGAGCTTTGATTGGTTGATAAGAAAGGAAAAGTAAATTACCATTTACAGCTACAAATAAATGAGTTAAATATTGTGAAGGAGTATAAAGTATCGCACATTTACTCAAGTAAAGTAATGGCAAAGTAAATGAGATATGGGTATATGTACTTTTAAATAACTTTCCACTTCTGTGGACCAGATGCTGTTGATAACACTCTCCACTTTTCAGGCTGCGAGATCATATTACCTGCCACAAAAAAATGACCCGTGCATTCAATAAGCTGTTTAAGTTGCACTGAAGCTTCACACACATGAATCCATGTTGGACACAACTTCACTCCACACCAGAGTCAACAGTCACAGATGTCTCTCTAAACACAGCATACTTCATGCACAGGAGAGACATGAGAGTACTGACTTTGCAGCTGTGTTTGCGATAACCTGAAACACACCGGAGAGACGGACAGACAGAAAGAGACAGACAGAGAGAGAGAGAGAGCATGTAATGAATCACCAGTGGCATTTTGGAGATAACAATGGCACCATGTGTGTTTGTGGGAAGCCGTCTGAGCAACAGCGCTATCCTGTAAATCCCATGTGCAGGTCAGAATAGCAGCCGTTTGTCATCGCTGGGATATTTCCCAGCTTCCCCTGGAGTGAGTGACAAGGGCAGAAGTGCCTCAAGCACATGACGGTCGTGGAGACACATTTAGCACAGAACAGACCAAGAATATACACAACTGCACAAACACAACACAAACCACCTGAACTGCTGCCGTTAAAAACAGACGAGCACGGGTGGAGGTGGAAATACAAGCGGGGCCTTTAACGCAGCACGTGTAACACTGTAATGTATGCACCGGATTTCAATTTTCAAATGTTGTCAAGATTTCTGCTCAGGTTGTTTTTATTTAAGTAAAAAATTACACTTTTACATGTGTTTTCATCTATTAAATCACAAATGTCTTTTTATTACAATGCAAGAAATCGTAAAGTTTGACGACCCTATCCTATCTAAAGTTTTTCAGTTACACTGTGGAACGTTCACTAAGATGAAATAAAAACATCTCTGCTTTCTCAGTTAAATATGTACAGTGTCACTGCAGGAACAGCCAAAGTGAAATTAGAACATCAAGGTTCTGTTCCAGAATCAAGAAGAACCCATTCAAACGCCCCCTTGGCCGATGACAGAAATGTTGAAAGAGACTTTACAGCATTGAATAACATAGGCTGGTGCAACAGAGGCTATAGCCTTCATGTGACGGCATGTTTCTCTACACAGTGTTGGGACATGTTCAGGGTACAGTGGGTAAAGTGGGTCAGGCTGAGCAGCACCTCACATCTCAGGGTATCTTAAGTATGGAAAAAAGGCATTCAGGGGATTCGGGATGATGGTGTGCAACCGGAGTCGAGCATTCCATGACCACGTACAACAGCTGCTCTCTCGTGTGTGTGTGTGTGTGTGTGTGTGTGTGTGCCACGGGGAATCAAAGTCTCTATATACCCGGTGAGGTGGAGCTACTGATAGGGTACTTTCGTCATCGGCCTGCAGTCAGTCTGGAGCACGTTTCCTGACACCTGACTTATCGTTGGCCATTACTGTAAAGCAGCTCGGCTCCAGAGGGGAAACCCATTAGTGGAGACTGATATCTGGATGTGATATGTCAGAGGCCGAGCAGATTACACCCTTAATTAACCTCTGCAGGTATTCAACTCACGCCATCGCACTGAGGAGAACTGCCTCAACAGTGGCCACAATCTGACGCCCTCTGCGTTCCCCACAATGCAACATACAGCTCAGTTAAAGGTCATGCTCACTAGGCCCAGGCAAAGATACAGTAAAACAAGGCAGAGCTCTGTCTGTATCTGTCTTGCAATAAGTGAAAATGTAAAAGTTTCAAAACATTTAAACTTAAATGAAGTTTGGTGAGGATTTCATTATTTTGTCAGTAAATCTAATATCACAAAGCAGCTGGAATCCTTGTAAGCAAGAAACCATCTTTTCAGGCTCCAAGCTACTTGTTTTTGGACCAATTACATGAAATAACAGAAACCATCTTTACTTTTGGGGAGCACATGTGTCGTCCACCTTTATGTACAGTCTATGTTTATACAAAAGTTCAGACTTTTCTCAGCGGAAAAGATGAAATTGCTCTTTTCCAAATGTGATCGCTGGTGAGATCATCCAGTCACACGCCAATATTTTTTTTAAGTACCAAAGAAAAAGAAAAAAAAGTTCTACTGGCTGCGGGTCACCAAGTATCCACCAGTTTACTTTTACCTCACGGTGACTTTGTCATAATTAGAAATCATCACCTTCCTTTGACCTCAACAGCAGTTTCAACCCACCAAAAAAAGCATTTCCAGACAAAACGCAAACAAGCACTCTGTTCTGGGCCTTTTATTCCCATCATATATATTTGCTAGAAGAAGAAAAAGTTTCAAAAATGGATATCAGGGAGTTGAAACTGCAAAAAACTTCAAGAAATGGAGAAACCAAAACCAAAACTGATCACTTGACCTCTGGTTTGGACAGTTTCTGTGACATTTCAAGGGGTTGCTGAGGACACATGACCTTTAATTCAGTGTCTCAGATCTGCCTGTGATAAAAATCCTCTGATGACCCTGTAGGCTGATCTCCTGCTATTCCATTACCTGGATGTAGGCCAGGTATGTTTGTGTGTACGCTCCCGAAATAGTTCCATGTGTGAGAGGAATGAAGGCCGGGATGGCGACGGAAAGTTCTGAGTACGCTCTTGTCATCACGTTACTGTTAATGTGAGGTTAAACAAGGAAAGTGTGACTTCCTGCCATCCTCTAGAGTGAAGCACAACACTTTTGTCAGATTAGTTTGTGGGTGTGTTGGTTTTAGGGGGATTCCTGCAGGAGTTAAATCGTCTCCTCTCAGTGTGACGTGACTGGAGGTTAATCATCTCTTTGGTAACCTACCCAACCGATGGAATTCCCAGGGCGGCCGCCGGCCCATCTCCTAACTTGCCCTGCATCCGCATCATTTCTTTGACAGTCTCCGGAGAGTAGAGGCCAATTGGGCAATTGTACTGCCCCCGCTGGCTCGGTGTAGACACGGCAGCTGTTGTGGAGGAGGCAGGGGCTTTGACCGGGGTTGAGAGGAGGTCGGGATCTTTTTTGGGGTAATCCCACTCTGAGGGATTTTTATCCTGGAAAATTCCATCGGACACTGACATTTAAATTTGAACTTCACCAAAATGTTTAGGCCTGATCTCTTCCTCCATCTTTTACAACTCTTTAAAAAAAAGATGGGAACACGTCCAGTTAGACATCAAGAAAAAAGGCTTTAAATCAAAACGAGGGAGCGGTGACCTCTGAACTCCCTGCAGGTGCACTGTGAATACTTTACACTAGAGGGCAGCAGCGTACTGCCTGATGGCCTCATTAAAGCCGTGTACAGATTCTCACAAAGGACAAGAGCACAAAACAGACAGACAAGTGTACAATGATGTACATGTGTGCAGAGAATAACTGGAATTTTACGTGTATACATGTGTATCTTTAAGGATATGTGGGTTTATATACCTTCTGGTGAGGGATGATTGGCATAGGTGAGTCCATTCTTGGAGTTGCTGTGGGAACCGGTGCAGGGCGTCTTGACCTGTTGATTCGACAGCAAAATATATGCGTTTAAAAATATCTTCAAATTTTCTATTATTTCAAAAGTTTCCCTCTACTCATATGTCTTTTTATTCTCAGTCTTTCTCAGATGGTTGCAGTATGTTGATTTTCACATTCATCAGTTTGTCTGTCCTCATAAGTAAGATTTTGTGACATCACAAATAGTTTGGGAGCCAATTCTGAACCAGTATGTGGACTGGAAACTTGATGCCTCCCGTTGGACATACAGCGAAAATAAGTGTGACCAGCAGTGAGACTTTTAAAGGAAAATATATTTGCATATTCACTTGATGAGGGAGTAGATCTGCTATTATATACTTAATTTTACTAAACAGGCACAAATGATTCAATGCAGAGTAATTTCATGTCTGTCTGAAGCAGCATGTGTGTCTATTTTTAACACGTTGACTTTCTCTTAAAATGCTCACACAAATGATTCCGGTATGTTGGATGTTCTTTCTGCATCATCTACTTAATTCTGCGTGTGTCAGGTGTTTTAATGTAAGCGTGTGCTGGTTGTTTACTTCTGCATGGTGAGGGCCAGTTTGGTGGTGGCGGACTTGATCTTGTTCTGGGCCTCCAGGTGCGTCATCCCGTCAGTGCTCGCACCATCAATGGCTGAGATGATGTCGCCCTGGGCCAGGCTGCCACCCGCCGCCTTGCTGCCTGGGGTTATCTATGGAGGAGGTCAACAGGGAGCACTGACACAGATTCCTCAGGAACCACACAAGCTAAAGTGAAAACCACGTGAAGTTTACACGAATATACATGCTACAGAGTGAGCAGATAATTTCAACATGCTGAAAGAGCTTTGCTGTAAATCAGGGAAAATTAAAATGCAAATCAAAATCAATTTTTTTTGTGTATTTTGCCTCACACCCTCGAATCTAAACAGCTTTACAGCTCAGCTAATGTGTGATTTCCCCCATTTACGCTGTGAATGTAACTGCTCAGTAGATAAAGCTTAAAGGGAGAGAAGAGAAAAGTTAATGAAGCAAAATAAACGAATCCATCCGATTTGCAGATGAAGAGGCTGGATAAGAATCTCTTCGTTAGTCTGAGCGATAGAGTGGAGCTGCATTTTATCTGAGAGTGGAACGAGTCTCCACAGCAACACACGAGGCTCTTTATCACGGTCACGAACGAGCAGAGAATCAGCAGGATTTCTAATGAAAGAGACGTAAGAGGTGCAGGACAGAATTATCTTAAATCTAACGTCAATGATGCATATGCAAAAATGTGGGAATCCAGAGCTGCAGGATAAAGCAGGCTGAGGAGAGGGGGAGAAATAAATGCACAGCTGGGTCACTGCATCAAACTGTGATGGTGAAATTCAAGAAACATTTTGGATTTTATGTGAACCCTCACCTCGCATTAACCTTCAGGCTGATACATATTTTTCTGGCTGTGCTACAAAAGCAGACTTTAGTGTTTAAACTCCACAGAAAGGTTTAACTGAGCTCAGGGGCCTTGAGGTGTACACTGATGGGTCTAGGCTTACAGTCGACTTGTTAAAGAGTTAAAATAAGCAATGCTGTTGATGCCTGCGGCTTCACTATGATTGACCCCAGCCCACTCCCCAAACACACACACACACACACTTGCTGCTGACATTCATACACAACTTCCTTGATTCTGTTTTCTGTTTACATTAAGTACAGTCCTATCTTCGTATGTGAATTCCAGTCGTCATGCGTCTATGAGTGTGTGTTTCCATGTGTTATGGTAGAAAGGCATGTGGACAGCAGGCGTGGGGGAAACCTATTTCTGCACGCCTCAGTGTAATCAAACACACATTTAGTTACATATGTGGACACATGATAGCCACTCTGTCATGCATGTTTCATACATAACAAATATTTCAGAGAACAAAGAGAATGAAGATGTTGGAGAGTTTTGGAGTTTCAGTGAATTGTTTCTTGCGTGTTTTATAATATAAGCAATTTTAGATTGATCAAATGCATTAGCTATGTCGATAAAAAAAGACTAAGTCTGGTTATTTTCTCACTCTTTCCACGCTCAGGACGGAAGCCAACCAGAGAGCAGAGAGCAGAGAGCAGAGAGCTGCTTTTATTCTCATGGGAGAATGTAAATGGACTGGAATGACATTGGTAACACATGTTAAGGAAGTAAGGATTGGGGGTACTACTGTATATTGACAGGTTTTTCGAATTTAAACTATAACTGACTGTACTGCAGCAAACCAGTTTGCCTCCTCACATATTTAACGGCTGACGACTCCACTTGACTAACAAGATCTGAGGATCTTCATTCCACTTTCCTTTCTTAGGTCTTGGCAAAACTAGGCTGAAATCCAAACCGCGGCGGCGTCAAACTGTAAAGACACACAGACTTGTCATGTAAAGCTGCAGTGTTTTATGTTAACCTGCTGGAACCCATCATGACCTCACAATCCAACGTTACAGTGTCACACCAGACATGGATCAAAGCTCCCACCCCATTGGTCGGCTAAAGACTGGAACCAATGACAAACCAACATACATCTGGAGCTGTGAATCAATACAACACCGACTGATCAGCAGCCGAGCATCAATCTATCTCCTCTGCCTAAATCCGTCCATCCGTTCCGCCACAGTGACACCCTGATGTCCCCTCAGGAGCGGATCCAGAGGCTGAAACCGAAACTGACTTTAAGCGAAAAGTAAAGCTTACTAAAGGTAACACAAGTCGCCATTAGCTTCCTCACTCCCCTCACTGCCTTTCTGTCCCATTCCCACCCCTCTCCATCTATCCACCTCTCCTGCAATGCTATTTAAAGGAAATGCTGTAAATACACCAGCAGTCCTGCCAGAGAGCGAGAGAGAGGCCCTGTCTTTCTGCTGCAGAACTTCTTCTAATCTTCTGTTTGTAGAGCAACAGTGTATTCTTTATTTAAACTTATGCTTGAGAATGTTTTATGGTCAGAACATAGAACTAATACATTTCTGTCACAATAAATCTGGTTTCTTTGGGTTGTAGTCTGAAATTTTGTTTCATTTAGTTTTTAAAAGATTTGATAGTTAAAATAACCAAATCAGTCTTAATACTGTGAATAATTTGACTCCTCTGAAATAAAAAGTCGTTCAGCTTTCATATCTTCAATTTAAACTTAAATGTGGGGGGTGGAGGGGAGATATGTGAGTAAGTGTTGGTTGTATTTGATCAATTTTTCATGAACAATTTTCATGAAAACTAACAACAGCTAAAGTTAATTAATGCGGCAGCAACTCTGATCCAGGAAAAAAGTATTCCCGTGTCTTCAACTGCTCTATTCTAGATATCTCTCTGGAGATTATCTGAGGCTCCCTGTCATCATCGTCATGTCAAGCAACATTACATAACCTCTGCTCAACCACTGCTCAGACACACACGAACACACACACATGTTACACACATATGCACAGACACAAGCTTGAGGAAAGTTAGAACATGCAAAATATTGTTGCCCAAACAGGCAAATATGATAAAGAGTTTTGTTTTTAAAAGTTTAATCTAAGTTGCATATGATTGTTTGGGGTGAATATATTTTACAGTGTAAGGGTCCGTTAATTAACTGGCTGCACCTTCAATAATTTAAATGCCAATACAGTTGTTAGATATCACCTGGACGTCAAATAAAAACATGAACTTTTCAACATAATACATTTTTTTATGATACACCTACACATCTTTTCACCTGCAAATCACCAAAACTGGTTATACGCTGATATTCTAGAAGAAAAACATGATTAAATAATACAAAATCATAGTTAAAGGGGTCATTTATGTATGAGGTTTGGATTATTGTGCATATTTTTCTTTTCTTTTCTTTGAGTGGATCAGTCTGATATCAGTGTGGCATAGTCTGTGCTGGAATCCCTGATTTCTGTCATGTTTATCATTTGTGACACTTCCCACGAATGGTTACATTGTCACAGCAGATTATTAATGCACCATTGATTGTGAGCTATATTGTCAATGTCACACTGCTTATAGCTTTCTGTTTGTTTGTTAGTTGCTTTGTCACAACAAATCTGACTCCGTCCTTACCCTGGAGATGGTGAGGGGCATGTTGAAGTCCTTCCCCCCCTGTAGTCTGAAGCCCCATGGAGCAGGGCCATTCAGAGTCACTGTGTAAGTACTCATCTTCGGTGTCAACACTCCCCCTGACAACGACTCCCGGTGGCCGTGTGGTTTCTACTCCTGCTTGCCGTGCCCTTGCTCTCCGTCCTCCCCTGGTATCCTTTTGACCCGACCGGCAAATCCTCCGTCAGCCCTGCTTCAAGACTGTCTCTCCCTGTCTGCTCCCAGCTCTCAGGACTAACACTCTGGGGTTGGTGGGTAGGTGGGTGGGTCAGGTGCTGTGGAACCTCTGTGACAAACACACACACACACACACATAAACGCAGGGACACACACACATAGGCATGCATTCATGCACACAAATACACACGGGTACACATATGTGTAGACAGACACACATGTACAGAGAACCAAGCTCAGGCATGCCCCAAAAAAACTCCTGAAGCTCCGTCTCCTCTAATCAATAACTTTCTCTACAAACCTCAACTCTGGGAAAGTGCAAACTCTCAAAAATCAACACAAAAGTTAATCTTACGATGGAGAAGAGTTTCTTGCCTGCAGGGTTGCTGAGGGTGAGGGACAGACAGACTAAGAATAGCTGGAGCGAGCAGAGGCACAGGGGCCCTGGGCCTTATAAGGCCTGTAACACGAAGCCCCAGAATGCTTCACTGCCAATTCACATCGCCAATATAGACCCCTCTTACTGCAACACATTCTCCCTCACTCTCCCTCTCTCTCTCTCTGTGCGTTTGCCAACACCCTATTATCCGTGCCGCGTCCTGATGTCATCCACTTTTCAGTCTTGCAGTCCTTCGCTTGGCTCGAGGAAGGAAACAACAAATTACCCAGCTCTGATTCCAGAGAAACACCCCCACGAAACTTTTTCAAGTTGTCTGTCTGTGTGTGTGTGTGTG